TTTTTTTTTTTTTTTGTCTATTTTAAAACCTCTCTTGAGTTTAAGGATCTTTTGACTCTTACTGCTGAAGAAATGGACCAGATTTATTTACCCATTCATCCCTTAACAGGAAGTTTCCTGTCTGGGGTACGTATAGATAGTGCTCCAATGGGCACTGTTTGTACACGCTCTTATGTATGTATACACTTGTCAGTGAAATGTCTGTCATTGAAATCGCCTAGTCCGCTTCAGGAGACACTGACAAGCGGCTTTCCAAAGGTTTGATTATAATTGCATTCACAGTATGTAACAGTTCCACTCACCCCGCACCTTGCCAACATTTGCTACTTTCCATCTTCTTTCACGTTATTCTTTCACTGAAGTATGTAGTGGTATTGTGGCTTTGATTTTCATTTTTGTAACAACTAATGACATTGAAATTTTAAAAAGATTTATGGAACACCTAATTTTTTCTTTTTTGAAATCCCATTTCAAGTCATTTGCCCATTTTTATTGGATTGTCTGCCATTTTTTCTAGGTAAAACTTGCCCATACAACTCATTTCTTTTTCTTACTTCCTCCTCCTCTTCCTTCTCTTTTCCCTTTTCCTTCTCCTCTCTGTCTTTCTTCTCCTTCCTTCTATATTGTAAAGACCAAGAAGGCAGAATAACAGGTTTACATAATATTACCCTTAGGACTTGACCATATTTTCCTTAAAGCATCTGTTCAAAATTACCTATTGATTTGTATTAAGAGTTTCTCTTCACCAGCTAAATTAGTTCAAGGTTCTAGTCCTGCTGGTTCTACTAGGATTCTAAATATGGGAGGAACTTCCTCTCTGGAAAAGTTGTGGCAAAACCAGAACCAGCCGTGTGTATAAGACAGTCTAGATGATATGTTTTACTTGTTAGGAGCCGGCATCAATTCTTATTAAGGTTGATGGTTGACAAGTGGAGAAACTTGAGAACACAAAGAGACTAGCAGAAGCACAAACGGTCTTTTTTCTACCCTCAAGAGAAACTTTTATCTCACATGATACTTCTCTGTACCTTTTTCCATCCTGTTACAACCTTCATGTTTTCCTCCCCCATTTATAAAGTATAATTTTCTGTGACAGGTCTTTGTCATCTCCCTCTAGCTTTCATCACATCGTCGAGACTCTGTCACTGTCCCTTATGGAAGCATCCACACTGCCCCTTCCAATACTGATTCTTCTCACAACACAGCTTTCCTGATTCTGTCAGCTCGCTCCCTGAATTCTCGTCAATATCACCCACTGGATTTTTTACTGATGATTTTCTGTCATGCCTGATGGAAATAATCCTAATTTAAATAAAGTAAAAATAGTCTATTTAATTTTAACATATGGATTTTAATAGAATTTAACTACAAAAATAAGTACCCACTTGCTTCACAGTGTATAAAAAGAGTAAAAAAATATTAATTCTGTGGATCACAGATTTATAAATTCTGCCCTATACTGAATTTTATAGGACACGGCTACTATTCGCAACAGATCTCTGTGTTCATAACTACCCCATGGAGGTTTTTATTAGTGATTATTTTCACGTAGATTTTTATTTATTTGATACCTTTCCAAGAGGAAAATTCAAGGACAACAGGATTGCCTATTCAAATTTGTCCACCAGTTGTGATCCTGGCTGCATGTTAGAATCTCTTGAGGAATCTACATTTAATGGTATTTGGACTGCACTCCAGACAAATTCACACAGTCTCTGGACTGGGTACAGGGATCCACATGTTTTTAAGGCTCCTCAGGAGACTCTTACGCACACAGAGAGCAGAGAACTGCTATGACTGTGGTCAAGAATATGAAGAAAATTTGGCGATAGATTAAAAAAGGTAAAATGTTAGGGGTCTATGCTACATGAAGGTCAAGACTCTGTATCCTCAGAGGCGGGTGAGAGTTGTTTCTGTGGCCCAGTCCTGGATCTCTGCTTGTCCAAATGTGAGGTAAAAGATCAAACCGAACATGTTGACAGCAGCAGACAGGAAAAATACATTCTTCCATCCAGACTCTGAATCCTGTACACAAGAAAACTATAATTACTAATCTTACAAATTCCTTTCCCACCAGTTACAGAAATCCTCTATTCTTGTGCATTCCAGTTCTAGTCACAAAGTATTTAAGCAACAACACACAATAGGCACTGGATATCTTAAGTTATCAACGAAGCTTTATGATACTATTGGAAACAAAATGTCTCCAAAATTCATCTTGGATTCTCCGTTGGGATAGCTATTTCTTTAAACAGAAATAAATTAAACTACTGGCGTTTTATTTGAAATTTGGATCTCTCATCGCTTCTCTGCCTTTTGGCTAAGATCAAGTGTGAAATTCGGATCTCAGAATTCACTGAAACATTATGAATTATACTGAAGATAGTATCATTAATATCCCATGTTAGTTTCTAGCTGTATACATAAACTGTAATCCCTTTGGTGGACACCTCAGTACAACAGGAGTACTGCGTGATTTGCTATTTGACCCTTTTCACCCAGCCCCTCCTGTGTCATAGTTCATTTCACATTGCATTCCTAGCGATTTGATGACAAACAAAACTCTACCAATCTTGGAACTAGGTCACATACAGATTTATTAAAAACAAAACAAAATTTTGCTTTGCAATCGACTCTCCTGAATTTTCCCTTCTCACCCTGGTTCTGCCCTTTCATCCTCCTTCCTACCTAGGGAAAGACTCAGCCTGTGTTCCCTCAATGGCTCACAGCTCCTCTCTTTACTCTCAAGTCAACCTCTCTTTAAACTGGCCTTGGGTCCACATGTTTTTCCTTTTATGATTTTTGTAAAAAGTTAATCTGGAGAGATTCTTTGTGATCTTCCCTGCTATCCTCTTGATAGGGGCCATCCACTCTGGTCATAACTGAGAATTCTCTCATGCTTTTTGCCTCTAAGGAGCCAGACATGCTGTCTTCTGAACCCAAACAGCTGGTTTTCATGAACTGAGCATCTGTTCACTTGGAGAAATACAGCTTTTAGTTTTCTTCCCCCAGGAAGCCTGCCCAACAAGGTCTGGTCTAGAAGTTTGCACAACTAGAGCAGTTGTGTCACTGGTGCTCACTTTCCCTATCAGACCATACCATCTTGAGACCACAGCATATATCTCCAGTGCCTAAAACAATACCTGCCACTTGCAGATGTTCAATAACATGCCCAACCTGACTGATAAGGAATCCAGTGGTGGTGGAAGAGACGATCCCTGCAATGAGTCCGAATCCCCTTGAGATCCCCATGAGAAAACTTGCGTATCTATGGAGAAGATTTCATATTCAGTTTTTCATAGAACATCTCATTTGCCATCACAACTCAGTATGAATGAAGCTCACCTCTAATGACAAAGTCATTTTGCCTACTGCAGCTCTTCACTGCCAACCCCAAAATCACCTGCCTGCTGAGTCAATAGGATAGCTCAAAGAACTAATCTCTGTAGGAACTGAGTTTTTCCACAACACTGCTCAGCACAGGAGGCAGTGTGCCACAGGCAGAACAAGATGTAGACTCTGATGCCAAATTACATAGGTCCAAATCCTACCTCTGCCCTGCATGATCACAGACATATGACTTAACCTCCACATGCCTCAGTTCTCTACCTCTGGCCTAGGAGGGAGCAACATGATCTTCCCATTGTAATTGAGAGGATTAGATATATTGATTCTGAGAGGTTTTTAGCACTGGAGTTGGCTCAGGGCAAGTAGCCAATATGATCAACACCCTGGAAACTTCTAAAACACATATCTGTGGGCCTTTTGCCAAAACATACAGTCTAATCTTTAGTTGGAAAGCTTGAGAAGATTTTTTTTTTTTAATCTAAGTGGTTACTAGAGAGGAATGGAAAATGTTCTCAGTGCCACATTAGGTCATGGCCATGTTCTGACATTTCTGTTACTTGTCATTTTGCCATCATTTAGTGCATGTCAATAACAGGAAGCCTTTGCATGGTGATGATTGAGGTCCAACACCTCAATCTGGAGGGGGGATCTGGGGGAGGGAAACTCACGTAAATCTCTTACCTGGGGGCAACATCTAGGGTATTGATGATAAATCCTGAGTCGCACAAGTTGCTGGTCCCAGGAATAAGTATCAGCAAAATAATGGTTGTCATGTAACTGGATGCCACAAAGGGCAGGGCCACCGCACAGAGTGATGGAAGAAGGAGGCCTGGACAACGAGGACAGGATGTCAGGAGCCCTGTAAGGTCATGTGGTCTTGATTAGTTGAACCCACATGCCCATTCTTACCTAGGGATGAAAAGAGTTTTCGCACACTGATTAAGCTGAGAAAATTCCTGGACAGGAGAAAGTCTGCCAACTGACCTCCTAAAATTGTACAGCTGGCAGCAGCAACAAATGGCAGGGAAGACAGAACCCCACTCTGAGGGAAAGAAAAATACACAGAGTAATTCCAGAAGTGCATATGGCATCAACATTTATCAGAGATGCAGACCAACCACCAGCTCATGCCCCAACATTCTGAGATGCTGGGGGGAAATCGGCATCATATACCACAGAACACTACTGTTTGAGGGAGGAGCACCAGCACTTGCATTGTGCTGGCATCCAGAGAAGAGCAACATTAACTTCTAAGGGGGATTTTAGAACCAGCTGGTGTGGCAGTAAGTCATAGTGGCCAGAGGTGGAATGCACCTCTACCCCATAGTAACTGTGTGACTGACCCAAGGCTAGTTCTCTTGCCTCCCAGTGTCTCATTTCAGTATCTGTGAAATGGGAATTGGTACAGTGCCTCTCCATGGTCATTGTGAAAGTTAAATGAATATGCCAACCTGGAATTCAAGTGACAGCACAGAACAATTGCCATTATCATCAATTTTATAGAAATAAGGGAAGTACACTTACATCTCTCATGTTAACATGGAGCACAGTACTGATGTATGTCGGCAGGTACGTGATGATGATGGTGCATAACCAGAAATGGCTGAAAAACCCAGTGAAAATAGCCCAAAGTGGTAGGCATCTGGCCATAGCCTTTATGGGGACAGATCGTCTGGGAGAACTGGGCTGAAAGGAAATAGCTAATCAGCACGTGGCTTTGAACAGACCAGAGATTGCCTCTCCCAGGGGAAATATGCCCTGCCTTGGAGATGTCTGGGTGGTCCACAGGTGAAAGGAGTGGGCACACCGTACCTGCTGAGCCAGAGAGGACACAATGTGCTCCTTTTCCCTGGCACTTATGCATGGATGATGCATAGGGTCATCATAAATCATCGTGTACCACAGTAGACAGCAGACACAGCCAATGCTACCTGGGAAATATGGACACAATTAGTTTTCTGATAGATTTATGCACTGAGAAAGAGAATTTCTTCAGAAGCATTCTTCCTCGACCATGCATGTCACTCCATGATTATTCCATCGCAAGGATCTAAATTACCCCATTTCTTCCTTTCCATTTTATGAACCTCTTCTCGTCAAAGCTTTTCAGATGCCACCTCTCAAATTCTGAGTTACTTTTGTCAACATCAGAGCCCTGAACATGAAAATGCCATTGCACGGTTCATTAATTACTCTTAAAATTCCATTTCATAGCACTTTGTGTTTTTCTGTGCAACTTCTTAATAAACTCATTGTCTTGTTTTGGAAGTGCTGAATAGTCAGAATAAAAGAGAAAAGGAGTTGAAAATACATGGAACAACCAGCCATGAAGCCAGTGTGGCAAGGAAAATGCCCTACCCATTTTTATTTGTATTCAAACCACAAATAATATCCATTATGGATTCTTTGATGTAATATTTCTTGACGACACCTGATTAACATTTGTGAAACAAGATGTCTGAGATTTGTATTCTTAATGGGAAAGACACCCAAGCTGGAACTAAATTTAAAGACATCTTTTGGCTATAACAAAATAATAATCCATAGAACCTTGTCTTATTACTGCAATTTGTTATTTGAATGTTCTATATTAAAATATTTGGGTGACTAATGGTCTTTAAATTCTCTCTCTTTCTAGACTCATCCATCTTTTATTTTAAAGCTAAAATGCAGATACTATGATGCCATTAAAGTGATAAAATTATATAATTTATTCCTTGCCTCAAGCACTTTACAGTCTAATGGGGAGATGAGAAGACAAAATAAATGATTACATATTAACATAACCTAGAAAAGAATTAGCAGTAAGGATTACATAGGAGAGAATGCTCACATCTGTCTGGAAGATCCCACGGAGAAGGGGACATTTGAAATGACCTTTGCAAGATTTACTTGCAAATAGACAATAGGTTAAGTTATCTTAGGCAGAATTAGTAATTTTATAACACAATATGAAGACATATCGAAGGGGAACTCAACCAATTTGGACATTTTAACTGTATATATTTGATCACTTAACAAGTAGAGTCTGAGAAGATGCCGAGGGAAGAAGGATAAGCTTTCACTACTGATTTTGCAGAAGCTGGCACCACGAGAAGAGTTATCTTCTCTGCCACATGCACGTGGATTGTCAAAACCACCCATGGTTTTAGGTCAGCTGTGTGACTAGATTCTGAATGCTACCAGTCCTCAAAGTCTACATTGTTTTCTATTTGACAAAGGATATTTTCTATTAATATAAGAAGAATAAAACAAATTCCTGGGCAATAGAGGTGCTAGAGTTTCAAAGAGTGACTCACCAAAGATGTAGAAAATGAAAGGCCAGCCGAATGCCTGTGAGATTAGTCCACCCACACAGAGGATAATGAAGGACCCAAATGCTGCCCCTAAAGAGAACAAGGAGAAAAACACTTACGCAAACAGCAAAAGCTGCTTCTATGTGGTCTATCTGGACACTGTCTCAACCCTGAGGTGGCAGACATAGAATTACTGGATGAGGAAAGTCTTTGCTCCACTCACAATCCCTCCCACCATGGAAACATCATAGAAAGTAATTAGCATTAGTGAATAATTGTGATATGCCACCTAATTCAATGGCACCTCAGCACCAGTGTAACCTACTTTAAACCCCTTAGTTGATCATAAAAACTGCAATCACAGAATCATCTTATGACATGATGCAATAAAAGATTCAATGAAGAAAAGTCAAGGTTTATAAAAATTAACAAAGAACAGTCCCTCTCCTCAAAGATATTTTGGTCCAGTGGAGAAAAAGTGAACAAAATTTACTATCACAATTGTAACACAATGTAAACCCTGGAGTTTGTGTTAAAACAACAATGAAAACATTTTACAGACTCAAATTATGAAATACCTAATTAATAGTGATTATAAGATTAAAACATTGCTCTATGAGCTAAGAAATAAGATAGCTGGATTTTTGCCAAGAAGGGTGGTGGCAGAAAACTTTTCAGGGATATGAAGGCACGGGAGGAAAGTTCTGGGCAAATGAAAGCAGGTTGGGACCAGACAGCAGGGCATATTGGTATCTGCACAATAAAGAGGTCCCATTGAAATTCTCAATCAGTTGAGCAAAATGTCCTATCTGTGCTTTAAGAAGATAGGTTGCCTTTGATGGGAAGAGACAGTTTGAGAAAAATCAACCTAGAGGAGACAGACCAATGAGAACATTTGAAAATAGAGGAGGTAACAACAGCAACAGTGGAGCTGGCAGGAAATAAGAAAGCAGGAGGGTGCTGAGAGATAAAACTCCACAAGATATGGTTATGTGCGGACCTGGGAGTGAGAAGTTTGTTGAGAGCCTGCTTCTGCTGCTCAAGTACGTACTCTCAGGTTGGAAGCTGCAGAAAACAGCAGAGTAAGACGGTGGTGGCAGAGTGGTGGAGCACTATGGAGGGCCGGGCATTGAGCACCATGACTAAGAGTATGGCTTCTAAAACCAACTGAACTGCCTGGGTTCCAATTTCAGTTCTACCCACTCATGGCTATTTGTATTTGGATTATTCACTTAATCTCTACATACCATAACTCTCCTCTTAGAAAATCAGTCCAAACTAGTTTTACGTAAGAGGGTTGTTGTGAGACTAAATTAGCTCAGAAAAAAGAAAGAGCTCAGAATACTGCAGACCCTTTAAACTCTACTCTTCAGCCTGATAGTCATAATTTTTATTTCAAAAACAATCCTCTTGGTTTTTTTCCACTTATGTAGCACTTAAGAATCTAAATTTTTTCCTACATGGATGTTTTAGCTACTCTATCTCACCAAGGTCTTTTCTGTTTCTCAAATTCAGTGTCTGTACAATACAGAGGTATCATTATTATGTAGCTGTCTTATATCATTGAGTTTTTCAGCAGTACCTATTCTTCCTCTTCCTCAAGCTGCCTGATTCACAGAAAGACATAAAAGAACAGAGCCATGCAAAACCATACAATGCCATGGTTATCCTTACCTGATCCTGCAATGCTGGTGAGCTTGCTTCGTTCCAGGGGAGGAGCCCATTTTGCCCAAATGGTAAACTGACCGGTCCATGCCATTCCCTGAAATGAAAATCATTAAGACATTTGTTCTTTTGCAGAACTTGGGGATCTGTATCCCACTCAGAATGAGAAGATGCTTGAATACCTGGGCCATGCCTTGCACTGTCCGAATCACAATGACCAAAATCACCCCGAAGTCAGCAGCTAGTGGAGTAAAGAGGGTGAGAAGTGATGATATCAGCAAACCAGCCCCAAGCATCTGTTTTGCTCCAAATATCCCTGCTAAATATCCACTTGGGATCAGAGTCAGTATTATTCCATAGCTGATGGAGCTAAAGATGATGCCCTGGGTCTCTGGGCTCCATTGATACACAGATGCCTGGAAAAAATAAGAAGAAAAACTATTTGCTAAGAATCATTTTATGAAAATCTACCCTCTACAGACTTGCCTTGGGTTCATGAGACTGTTTTACAAAGTATCTATTTTAGTTTTTCTCTACTTTTTTCTGCCTAACTTAGACATTCTACTTTTTCCAAACGAACTACCAATTATACCTCTAATTTGACTCTTAAAAAGGTTAGAAACAGAAAATGAAGAAAGGAGATAAATAATTACATAGATGGGTGATAAAACTGAGTAGAAAGAGCCATCAAGAAACAGCTTATCTGTTGAAGAATGCCCTTTATCAACTTAGTAAAAGTTGGGTGACAATGACTCTTATTTGAAAGGATAAAATATATACAGCATCAATGAACTCTTACCAAAATCTCTAAATCTTACCCTAACTTAAAAGAAAAATCAAGTTTGAGAATTATGGTCTTCTGTGATAGAGACAAGTTTCTAAGATATGTTTCAAGTGAGAAAAATCATATTTCCTTTCTGATATAACTCAGTAAATACTTTTGGGAAGTCCTGTAGATATATGTGGCATCATGTTATAAATCAGATAGGCAAAGAATATAAATTAATCAATATTTTGTCAATTTAAAGTAACTATAAATAATGCAAGGTATATAATTTGTATTAGAAATACTATTTGAAGATGAACAAATAAAATAGGCATGTTGAGAAGAGAAAAGAACAATTTGGGAAGGTCCAGGAAGGAAGCAGTATGAGAATCATCCTTTGAAAAATGACTATAATTTGTGTGATGAGAGAAAACAAAATCCATTCTTATTGGATAAAACAGTAAAAATGAGTGTGCATCATTTGAGAAGATATGAAACAATCAGAAAGTAGCTGTGTCTCTGGCTGGTTCAGAGCCCTTTCCCTGGGCCGTGCACAGCAGATAGGGGTGTGCTGAGAAACAAGACCAGGCTCTGGAGCAGCAGTGTGTGGAGAGAACACAGCATGCTTAGCAGAGTGAAAGTGTCCTGGATTCTTGAGCACAGACATGTGAATGTATAGAGTGGATGAGAGAAGAAAGATGGGACATCATGATATATAAGCTGTTCCCAATGTAATAAAATGATAAATTACAAATTGCAGGGGTGACACTAGGAATGTGCAGGAAATGAAAGATGGTTTACAGCAGGGGTCTCAGACCTCTGGCTTTTTAGGAAAAAAGCTGTACAATTGGAGGGAGCAGTGGGCAGGGGGTGTGCAGAGCAGGGCTTCATTTGTGTTTATAGTCGCTTCCCATCCCTCCCATTACTGCCCGAGCTGCACCTCCTTTCACAGCAGCAGGGGCTGTAGATTCTCACAGGAGCAGGATCTCTATAGTGAGCTGTATATGAGAGGGAACTAGGTTATTCACTACTTAGGAGAATCGACTACAATAATAATAGATATAAAGTGACAATAAATTAATGAACTTGAATTATCCCCAAACCATCATATCCTCTGCCTCCCTCAGCCTACCTTCAGGAAAAATTGTCCTCCAGACAACTAGTTAAAAAGGTTAAAGACCATGGGTCATAAACAAAGATGTGAGAAAACTCACTGATTAATGGGAATTAGTAACATGTTCCAGTGAGTTCAAAGGAGAATTCAAAAAAGCACACACACATAAACAGAAAGCAAAGCTGAAATGGATTTTAAAGAAAATAGATGCACAAGCACCTTGTGGCTATAACATTCAGTGAAATAAATCAGACACACAAACTTAAATATCGCATGGTGTCTCTTATATGAGATACTCAAATTGTAAATAAAGAGCAAAATAAAAGATAGATAATAGGAAGTAGGAAGATAGATCTTTCTCAAACTGGAAGGAGACCAAGAGATGGTAGAAGGGAAAGGGGGAGGGGGTACAGGAGAGGGAGTAAGGGTGAACAAAGGAATTGGGATGTGTTGTGTACACGAACCAACTCCACACAAGGAATGTAAACGTTATATACTGCGAACAAGTACTAATAATAAATAAAAAGGAAAAGACATATTCACAGAAAAATAGATGATAGATAGATAGATAGAAACACTGATTGTTCAATTAAGTGGGACTGATGAGTGGAGAGACGTGATTGCCCTCAGGATAGAATGTATCTGCAAAGCTATTGGCAGGAATCATCTGCTTTTTTTATTCATTATATAGAATTCACAGGGGGGTAAAGCAGCTCAAAACCAATGAAAGGTACAGCGATCCAAATGGAATTGGGTAACTTAGAAGGATCCCCCCAGAGAGCAACTAGTTTTTCACTGATGACACTCAGGAATCTATTAGTTCCATTTTAGAATTCTTCATTATGTTCTGCAGTTCCCTGACATGTTAATAAAAATAACCTCAATGAAAGGTTTTTATCATCATGGAGGTAACCAATTTCTTGAAGAAAAATATTTCCAGGCCCTTTTAGTTCATCATTGAAAATTCATGCTGCTATACTCTGCAAAATCAAGATCAAAGCGAACCTTTCAACCCCCCCTCCCCAATGAAGAGGCTTGCTGTCCATCTCACTCACCCTTGTTTTAAAGTCCTTGCTGGACATGCTTGGGTGGCGGAGAGTGTCTGTCAGAGTCTGCTCAGTGGAGGCGTTGAGTGGATCGTGTTGCTGAGTGCTGTTCACCATGGCGATGATGGCAATGCTCAGACTCACGCGCTGGGTGATCATGGTGAAGTTTGAGAAGTGCATGATCAGAGCCAGCCCATAGCGCAGTGAGCAGAAATCTGCACCAAGATGGTAAAGAGTAAGCAATGAGCTCCTCACTGAGCCTCATCTTTCCACTTCTCTCATAGCTAAATCTGAAAGTACTTTCCACTGTGCTTTTTCATTTCTTTTTCAAAACTCATTCCACTCCTTAGATCCCAGGATTTACTGATTATTGGGCTTCATTCCTGATAGTCTTATTTGATAAACACCTTTTCTTAGGAAAAAGCAGCCATTAATGGGATCGGGGGATGGAATGGTTTTGATGTTTCATTCAAAGTCTCTCCAAAGAGCAGCATGGGGGAAGAGGGAGAAAATTAGAGTACAGAAGCATGAAGACCACTGGCCTTACCTTTCCTGGGGGGAGGCTTCGTGTCCATTTAGCTTCTACAGGAATTGGTAGCACACTTTTTGGTGGAATTTCCCACTCCCCTGAATTTCTCCTACCACGACAGGCTTTTATCTGTGGTGAGAACAGAATCCAAAATATGCACAGAAATCCTTTCTTCTTGCTAATGTTGCCTCTTGTAGTCATTAGCAGAAAATTTGATCCAACACAACTGTATTATTTCCATTTTCCAGTGCACTCCTGCTATGGTTTTGGAAGACTGTACTTTTATAAAGAAATTTCAGTGTAAGTCCTTAGACCTAGCCACTTAAATTCCATAGCTATCCATTTTCTCATATGAGAAATGATAGTAACCATAAAGCTCCTTTCCAAGTGATACTGTAAAACTTAAGGAAGAAAATTGCAAAGATTTTATTAAACCACAGAAAACCATGCAAAGGTAAGAAGTATCACTTGTAACAGTCATGATATAGAACATTTAAATTCAGCCCAAGAACAGTGCTTTTTTTACATTCTGACCATGCTTCTCTTTCCTCAGGACAACCAGAACTCTGTTCCATGGTGTCTTTGAACATGAAAGAAGTTATTGTGTATCACTTATATGTATTGCATGAAAAGCTTTAAAATGCTGTTCGCTACCCACAAGTTGGACACCTTACAGGGCTGACAAAGTCTTCACTCACCTACAAAATCATACTGAATGGGAGATTTTAATTACATTAATGAATAAACCCAGCTCTTTTGACAGGCTGAGAGAATTCCTGATCCCAAATATGAACATGTTTGGCTTTATATTTACATATTAAACAAATTCTCCATGCCTATATGTATATATATATGTATATATATGTATGTATATATTTAAGAAAAATCTCTATCTGAAGAATATTGTCAGTGTTGCATCCATTCCCAAGCTGAATCTTCCATCATTTTAGAAACACTTGAATCATATTCATATTTCAAAAGTTTGTACTATTTCTGCACCTAAATTAAAGAAGATTCTTAAAATGTTAATGTTAAAGATGTTTCTAAAGTATGACCTTATAATGGAAGAATATAAGGAAAGAAAAAGATGAAGAATTTTTTCTAAAAACATCCATTGTAGTGTGATTTCTGGTAGGAAAATATAAAGACAAATTAACCTAACTGCAAGAATTTGGCAAGTCAATTTTATTAGTTTTTTTAAAAAAATGAATTGTTAGAGTAATGCTTTCAAAGATACTGAAATAAAATAAGGGAAATATTTGTGCTCTGGAGTGCAAAATAGCATGCAGTGTATGTATTCACATACAGAGAAACTGATTCACAAAAGTGCTTACAGTGGCTATTTCTGAACTACAGTACAGGATGCTCATGTTATCATTTATGATTTTTCTGTATTTACTAAATATAAAAAATAATTATTAGATACTCACTTAGTATCCAGAAGAAGCTAAATAATTATTAAGCTTCATCAACATGGTCAGAATACTTTTCTGCTTACCAAATAGCTCACAGTTCTGAGAATAATATCTCTCCATCCTAGTTTTGCAATTCTCTCATCTGGTAACAATGGTCCTAAATCAGGGCTGCACTGCTAGCAAGAGGAGATTAGCACCAGGACAAATGTTGTCTGTTGCTTGAGCTAGAAGGTTCTTGGGTTCTACTAGCATTAGGATGATATCAGGAATTTAGCCCACTGCTCTGCACTCAGATCCTAGCAGAAGCCATCTGGGCCAAAACTTTGGAATTTCATCATTTGCTAATTGATTTCTCTTGTTAGGTAAGAACCTGTGACTTGGAAGAAGGCTATTCTTTAACTGTACATACCACCACCACACTTATACTACATGTAAAGCCTTCCCATTGACTTCCGCAATGACTCATAAACACTGGGCTCTCAAACTGAAAGAGACAGAGAGATCCTCTGGCCCAATGTGCACTAATTCCACTAATGTGCAGAAAGCTTAAAGAGTTGCCTCAAGACACTCAGGTCACAGAACCCACACCAGGTCTTGTAATGCCTGGACAGCTACTTTTCTACTGTTACAGCTACTTCCTCTTTATTTCCTTAACATTTTAAGTATAAGCTCAAAAGAGAATAGAATGGTTTCACTTTAATGTGCTCTAAATGAAAATTCATGCAATTTTACATGAAGTTTTGATCATTTACTCCAGAAGAAAATTTGATGATGAAAATTACTCTAAGTTGAGCTTTGAATATTAAACAAAAACCCTCTACTTTTTCTTGCTTTTTCTGCTAGTGGGATTGTATCATAACCCTATTATATCAAGTTCCCTTTCCATTCTCTCTTGCTGTCTAAAGGCAAAGAATGAAACACTCCACATTGCTTTTATAGTTTCAACTATTTGAATTTGTCTCAGTAACTTTCAGTTATTTCCTGATCCTTTGCATGAGACAAATACAGAAATCAAGATAATATCCATTCTAAACTGGAATGTTTCTATGACATAGTAATGGAAACTATTTTTCAAAAACAATCACAAAAGTTTGTGAAATTATGGGGTCTGAGCACCAGAGTAATTGATATGCACTTTGAGACAGTAGAATAATTCACGGGCTAATTGTAAACAATTAGAACATGAACTTTGTCAAAGACCTTCCCACTCAAGAGTGATGATTTAAAAAAAAAAAAAAAGTGAATCCTAGTGTCAAAGCTGTAAGTAGACATAGAACAATTGAAATGAAATTGTTAGAAAAATTTTACATTGAGAAAATAATTTCCTGACACAGTATAGGCTGTGTTTGAGATAAAATTAATAATATAGACATGGTTTATGCATAAGCAAAAGCATAGTGCTTTTGTTGTTCTTCTTAGTCTGGAACTCATGATTTTGTTTAGTGGCCTTTCTACTCCTCTAGTTTTCCCTCAACATTCAACCTGCCTTGCATCATCTGTGTGAACCAAGGCCCCTGGTTTACTTAGGGTAAATTCAAAGTTCAAAGAGCATGATCCTGCAGACCAGAGGGGACTTGGGGCCTGGGTTCCACATTCCCACTGCTGACCTGTGCAAACCAAACCAGAGCAAGTTTCATAAACTTTTCAAGCTTCAAATGTTTCAAAGGAGAAATGGGGATAATATGACCTCATAAGACTATTTGGAGTGAAAACAAAGGTATAAGACATGCCCTGTGTCCTGTAAAATATTATACCCTGTAGAAAGGTTACTGATGTTAATAACAGCAATAATAACCACAGCCGCTTTAGCACTTGGGTCCACATAGGTCCATGAATAAGTACAGGCTTACAACAAATAAAATATGTTTTGATTGGTTGCTAAATTAGCTTTAAACATTTTCTTTTTAAAGTAGTTTCTTCTGTGCTGGAAATTCACAAGGTGGGTAGGGGAGGGTTTATCTTGCCACCAATATCAGAAAACATGGGAAGAAGGAATTCTGCAAAGTGAGCAGCACTAAGGCCCAGCCTGCCTTGCTGTAGTTCTGGAATAAAATTGGTTATTCCACATCTAACCTTATGGCATATTGTTAATGTATTTGTGATTGAATCACAGCGAAAGATAAAGTGTACTAAGCACCAATGATGGGCAACTGGAAAAGACAAGGTAATGCCAAAGCTAAGGTACAGTTACAGCAGGCCCCCTGTGCCTTTCTTCCAGCCAGGAGCTGAGTTTCGGAAGCAGATTTGCTCTGGGTGTGTTGGGAGGTGGCACCTTCATGCCTCTGTTCTTCTGGCTTCCTGTCACACTGCTAAAAGGTGCTAAAGGCTGAGCTCTCCAAGTACACACATTTCCTCACACTCACTCTTATTCACATCCCCCTTCACATTCTCCTTTTCTTGAGAGATTAGTTCACATGCACATAGAACTCTAAGAAGACTCATCAGTCACTGTCCCAAATCCAATCCTTACCGGACCTTACACAGAATTTCCTTCCATATTCAAAGCTGGTCTGACTTGTCCTAAAATCAGGACTTGAGGAAATGATCCCCGCTCACTGTGTTGGTCAGCACCAGTGTCCTCTCAAGCTTTACTCTAAGTGTTGATTGAACCAGTTACCTTTTTTAAGAGAGTCGCTTCTTCCTTTTGGAATCAGATCCCATTCCCAAATGGAGGTCCTTAACCTGTAGATAATGTTTTTCCTCTTAGTTCTTCTAAAACAGTTCCCTCCCACTAAGAGATCTTTGAGAGACTTGTAATTAGAATACTTCCCAAAAGACAAAGCACTCTTACCTTCACCATTAAACCAGTAGCGATGCCCTCAACTATAAGGCCACCTTGAAAAAAGAGTGTTTCTGTCTCTTCTTCCCTTTCAGGTAACTCCGCAGGGTTTCACAGGGATAACTAATGAGCCACGTGGTGACCAGACAGCAACCAGGTTTGACCCTATATTCTCAGAACAGAGTGCCTGGATTTAGCTTTGCCGCTTAATTTTTAACTTCATTTTCAAGTTCTCACTGACAGAGTCAGTATCAAATGATGTCATGAGGTTGTCTGTTTTGAACTGTGTCTATAACCATTCAGGCAACAACCGTTCCTAAAAGGAGGGTGGCCTGGAGAGGCAGAGGGGATGGGCTCTCGAGGCTGGAGAAACGAAGTCAACTCTTTGTCACTACCTAGTATTCCCTTCTTAAATTGGTTCCTGCATTAGTAAAGCAATAGTTGAGAGACACAGGTCATGAGGTTAGTGGACAAATGACAGGAAGTACATTTGCTAACTGGCAGAAGATCCTCAGAAACAAGACGTCCCTATTAAGAGGTTTGTTAATTCTGCCAGACTCTCCTAGGCATTTGATGTCCACAGTCTGACAAATGTGAACTCTGGTTCCTGTACTCTAACAAGGCTTCTCAAAGCTATCCTCTGTGTCCCTTGCTACTTTTTGTGTTTTCCTTCCTTAACAGTTTCTCCTTGGTTCCTAATGCTTGGATTTATGACCTTTTTATGATTCTTATTTTGGGACTGTGTTTGCTACTAGATCTTCCTAGTTGACTCTTGACTTTTATAAAATGTATAAATTGTAAAGTAATACAATGACAGATTCTATGGGTTAGGACACAGACATCTTTGGGACAATTTGTAGTAAACCACAATTCATTCTTCAGGGAAAGAGAGAGAATAAGGAGAAATGAACTTATTTTCTTTAATTAAAACTTCTGAGAGTTGATTTATTGTTAAGTCATGATGTGCCTGAGCAGCCAATGAAAACAGTCAAGAAGATAAATGAGAATGTTGTTTTCATTATCCTCCCAAAGGATGGTGGGATATTTTAGAAATTTGTGCCAAGGCACAGCATGATTGTAGAAACGAATATATTAAAGGATGGTTTGAAAGTGTCTAGTGCTATCAGAAACTTCTTAATATATTCTTCAAAGCTGCATGTTTTATTTAAACCATACAGTCCCATGTTGATATTTGTAAGCTCCCTAAGAGATCATGTCCACAGTTCTCAGGGCATACGGCCTGATGTACACACTATATTCCGAATGTTTGTGCTCTTCCCTGTCCAAGTGCATATTTCAAAATCCTAACTCGCAAGGTGATAGGCATACAGCCTTTGAGAAATGACTAGGTCATGAGCAAAACTCATGAATGGGATTAGTAACCTTAAAAAAGAGCCTCAGGGGAACTCATTCAACTCTTCTGCCATGTGAGAAAAGAGCAGAAAGATAGCATGTGATCAATAAATAGTAGTTCATTAAGTGAATGAACTTGTCATTAATAGTTAAAATTTCTGTATTTAGTCCAAACTCCCAACCCTATCATGATTTTCACATAACAAAGTGTTAATAATGAACTCAGGGAACTTAAAGAACTTAAATACGTTACACCTGTGACATTTATAAACATCAAGAACAGCAGAAAGTTAGGAAATCCTTAAAAATTCAGGTCTTTCTGGCATGACATTAACAATAATTCCCTATCAATTCTTCAATTCTGTGTGCGCGCACCCGTGTGTGTGTGTGTGTGTGTGTGTGTGTGTGTGTGTGTGTGTGTGTGTCTATGTTCCAGACACAGCACTTAGGGTCTGAGAGTATCAATTTGTTTAATATCTGGCTCATGACTCCACAGAGTTCAAAGTCCACTATGCGAGATTATTATAGACAGAATCAGTTGGGCTAGGATGAAGGGCAACAAAGAGTAGCAATAGAAGTTTACAGAGGTGCTGAGAGAGCACAAATTAAAATCCCACCAGGATTTTAATGAGGATCTCAGAGAGGCTTCTCGGAGGAGGCAGGCAGGGTCAGCTTCCCCACTGAATAAGAAAGGCATTTAGGGAAGGACCTTGCAGAAAGAGTAAAGCCACTGAGGCTCTGTGTGGGGAATTAGAATTCTCCAAGGAGACTGGGAATCACAGTGCAAAAGCATTGAGAGAATTTGGTGGACTGGCTGGAAATGTGATAGATGATTTTCAAAAAATCAACTGATTGTCCCAACCATAGAAATAATTTTCTCAAAATAGAAATGGAAAAAAGTTTTAATGTCCTCTGACAATAATAACTAGAAAAGTTTTAGATTATTTTTGGAAGAAAAATAAGACTCAAAGTAAGAAGACAATAATATTTCATCAAAGGACATAAAGCAAGATCTATTAAATGGAATTATATACTATATTCTTTTTTTGGTTTTGTTTTTGTTTTTTTGAGACAGGGTCTCACTATGTAGTTGAGATGACCCTGGAATTCACTATGTAGCCCAGGCTGGTCTTGAACTCACAGTGATCCTCCTGCCTCAGCCTCCCAAGTGCTGGGATTACAGGCGTGCGCCACCATGCCTAGCTATACTATATTGTTGCTGGAAATTTTATTATCATAAAAATATTGATCCTCCCTAAATAAACAGCATTCTGTGAAAATTGTGTTAAAAGAAGGGGAAATGAAGGATAAACTGGAAATGGCCTCAGTATCCACTTATGAGAGCCTGAAAGACACATCTAGATGAGATACCAGATCCTCACAGCAGAAAAAGGAAGCAAAAGGTGAGTGTCATATCTGTACCACTGAACTTTTACATAAAATAATACAATCTCAAATGAGTAAAGCAGAAAGAAAATGCATGGGAAGGGACCTCATATTTTCTAAAAATTTCCCCAGAAAAAGTCTAACACATATTTGCATTTATATGTAAGCTCATATGGACCAGATTAGCTGTTAACTTGGGTGGGTTAGCAGGTTTAACTAATTAGTGAGGTAGTAAAAAGTTGTAAGATCAAACAAAAAGATGAGTAAGCAAAGTAACATTTATATACTGTGAATGTAAAACTATGTGTGTGTCTGTGCACCTATACATGTGTGAATATATACAGGTATGTAGTTGTCTATTCATGCATATATATATATATATATACACATATATATATATAATATGAAAGAATAACATCATAACATCTAAGGTGATTAACTCTGTGTATAAGAAGCTTTAGGTAAATCTGACTTCTCTCAGGTGTTCCTGTGTTGTTTGAACTTTTGCACAAAAGATCATTTTTTAAATTATATAATCAAAAAAGCAAAAACTCATTTTTGTCTTTGGAAAAACTCAAAGCATCCAGACCAAAGTTCCAATTTAGGGAACAGTGACAAAGGAGACAACAGGACTAGGTCACAAAGGCCTTTTACATAATACACAGGGGTGTGAACTTTATCTTGTGATTCCAGTCCTTCCTCGACACAAACAGGTGTACATGTGGAAACAGAAATGCATGGCAGTGTGTGAAGGCCACTAAAAAATGCAAAATTTTGGGGAAGTGGCAATTTCATTCAGTACTTTGGGGGAACAGTTTACAAATTTGTTTTAAATAAAGTAATTCAAATGCAAAATTTGCACCCTTAAAAGTAATTTTTAAAAGGGGAGAAAACAGAGATGTGATTTTTTAAAAAGTCCATGTATATGCCAGGCTTTCTTTTTCTCTATTCACAGATCCACTCTGTAGTTAAAGATAATCCAGTAGAAAAAATATAAAGGAATTGAGAGTCATTAAAATGTTTTAAGTAGGAAGTAGGCCATGATGAGCCTGATGTTTTCAGATATTTCAGTGTGGTATAAATATCTGATGTATAGAAGCAAAAACACCTCTAAGTGAAAAGTAGATACTGCTGAGAAATGAAATGCGGGAACTACAGAATTAAACCAGACATTTGTTATTGACAATAACCTGATGCAGAGAAGTAAAAATGAAGGCAAAACAAGAGATGATTACCAGAAGTTTCACATTATGTTACTTTAATTCTGTATGTGAACATATGAAATTTCCCCATCTAAATATAAGATATCAGTCAGAAAGAAGTTGGTAAATTAAGATAGCTCCAGACTAAGATCCTCAAGACCCCAAGAAAACATCAAAACCTGCCTCAGGTTCACAAAGATATTCCAAAAGGATTCTTTTTTTTTTTTTTTTTTTTGAGTTTGTTGGTACATTTAGGGATACAGTACAGTTACATTCATTGTTGGGATCATGTACCTTTACATGGCAAGTCTTGATTCTCATTTTTTTCCCCTTACCTCTGCCCTCCCTTTACCCCCTCCTCCCCTCCCCATCTACAAACACTTTATTTTCATCTTTTCATTCTCTCACATTTTTTTCTTTTCCCTTTTTGTTCTTCCCCTACGCATCACACCTTCCCTACACCTTTAGCTCCTTTCCTCCCATTTCTAAATGTCAGTAATCTTATTAGAATCTTATGCATTGTTGCAGAATATTCACACCAGGGAAACTATTTGGTATTTACACATGTGGGACTTATTTATTTCACTTAGGAGTATATCTTCAATATGTATCCATTTTCCTATGAATGAATCTATTCTCTCACTCTTTATGGCTGAGTAATATTCCATTTTATAGAAAAACCACAACTTCTTTATCCAGTTTCCAACGTCCAAAAGGATTCTTTAAATAAGTAATCACTAATCTTTTCCATCAGCTTTGGCTACATGACCTTCTGGTGGAGCTTCTATCTCTGTGATCTGGTCTGACCCACACTGGAAGGGTCATAAGTGATTTTTACCTAGTTACTCACAGCAAGAACTTCTTGTTGCCTTCCCCTAGACTCAAGTCCTTGTCACAGACCTCAAAATCTTAGGCTCCACCTGGCAACAAAAGGCAAGCAAGGACCAATCCAAGGTGAAGTACTCCTAGAAAAGAGAAGCTCTCAGGGTGAGGCCTGGGATGGACCTGAGGTTTTGTCAGTTCTATCAAGTTTCAGGTAATGTTAGTCCCAGTAAGTTTGGTTCCCTGCTACTTTGCATAGAAATTCTCTTATACTCTCTACCACTGCATTTAAACTCTAATTATTCCAGAGAAATATTTAGTCTGGAATTTATTTTGGCAATAAAGATTTTCTTTCAATGTCCATATTTTTCTCTACTTTTAAAACATGTAACTTTTCTTCT